TCTTGCCTCAGCCTCCTGAGTAGATTACAGGGGCCTGCCACCACGCCCAGCTAATTTCTGTATTTTTAGTAGAGACAGGGTTTTACCATGTGTTGGTCAGGCTGGTCTCAAACTTCTAACCGTCTCAGCCTTTCAAAGTGCTGGGATTATAGGCATGAGCCACTGCACCCAGCACGGGTTAGATTTTTTTTTTTTTCCCCCCAAAAAGAAAAATTTCATTTTAATCCAGACTTACACCCACATGTGTGTTTCACACAGACCTTATTTTTTTCTCTTTTTTATTCTTCTTAAGACCTTATTTTTTAAACAGAGTGTCTTGTATTTAATACATTATAAAATTTGAAAAATTGTAGGAAAGCAGCAAACTTGAACTGGAGCAATTCTAACAAGGAATAATTTTGGCCCCTTAGCAAAACTGATCAGTTTGAAAACAAAGTAAAGTTCACATCTGTGAGGCGGACAAAAAAGCGTAACTTCTGTACAAACTACATTTAAAATTTCACATCTAACATCTTTCCAATGCAGTGTGCTCATGAGGGTTTTTCTGAAGTCCTGCCTGGTCCCTGCATAAAGAGAGACATGGAACCTCCATATACAGAGAAACTCTATTCAAGGTGTTTTTTTTTTTTTTTTTAAAAAAAGGAAAAGGAAAGACAAAGGAAAAAGAAATAACAGATGGCTGTTGGCAATGGAAACTGGAAGGAGACTGTGTCCTCACCACTCATGGCTTGTTTATTGGTCAGAGGCCTCAGGAGGGAGGCCCAGGACACTTGGCCATCACAGCACTAGCTGCAGCTATCACCTTTTTTTCCTCTTTTTTCTATTTCCTACCTTTTGACACATATGTATATATATATATTTTGCACCTTCGGGATATCACTATTCCAGTTGTTCCCAGGAATACAGGTGTGGTCACTATTGGATATAAATGTGTCTTTTATTCAATTTTAGGTCCAGGACTTGGTTTGCTGTCCCAACTGCACATATATGTCCCTTTTTTTGTTTGAGTTACTGGTTGTGTGTGTTTTCCTTTTTGCATAATAAATATGTCTGCTTAGTCCAGAGGCTCTTGCTTTGTCTGGATGACGGAGGGTACGTGGGGTGCCTGCCTCAGTTCCCACTGAAGGACATATTTGCTGAACTGGGATGAGTCCACGCCTCCCCCACAGGAGCCCATAATTTCAAATCCTCTTTGCTGCAACCTCTTGAGGACCCGCACTTAGTTGAGGTGACAGTAGCCATTTAGTGGAAACCTGATGACGTGCATCGAGTCGTGATTCCAGCCTGCATTGACAGAGTTACACGTCACATTGCCGATCTCTGGAAATACTTCTTCTATCAAGGATTTGTCACCGCTTAGCATGATCCTTTCTCTGAGATCTGGGGCCACATGCACGATGAGGCACTCACAGGGCCTTGAAAAGTGACCAATTTTTCTGTCCTGCTTCCATCTTTCCATCTGCAGCAACATGGGCTGAAGCTGAAAATATTTTGCCTCTTCATATAGTAAAGTATAGTCCTTGAAATCATCAGATTGAGGAGTTTGGATGTTCGTAGAAAATTCAAGGTATATCTGAACATCTCACCATCTCTGTCAATGAAATAGTGCTGTTTGAGACTGTCTAAAACAGGGGGCTCCATACCATCAAAAAGTCTTCCTGTTGTAGATTCAGAGTATTTGATGAGGGTGGCCAGGCTGCTGGTGTACATGTGGCTGCCCATATCAATGTGGATAGGCGCATTGGATTTTGTGAGTTGTGCTGGAGTAGGGATGCCTTGGTTGTTCAGTGGAGATTCAGGGGATCTAGTGGTCAGAGGTCTTGACATACTGGGCCAGCTGTCCCTCTGGCAGAGAATTGGCGGGTCCAGGTGGGAGAGAGGGAGGGCCGGCGGGTGGGAGGAACGGTGTGGCATCTCTTAAGTAATGCCCGAGGAGCAGTGCCCCTTCCACTGCTCCCTCGTTGTCCCCCAGAGCTGGGGGGTCGGGGCAGTGGCACAGCGGGTGGGCCGAGGGTGCTGCTGCGGGAAGCCTGTGTCTGGGGCCGCCTGGTTAGATTTTTAAAAATGTATCTTATAATAAACTTTGATTTAAAATTACATTTTCAGCTGCTTTGGCTGGTGTATGGAAATCAAACAGATTTTTTGGTCCACCTTGCTAAGCTTTAATTTTCATAATACTTTTTGTCTTTCTGTATAGACATTACTATCACCTGCAAGTAATGAGACTATAGTTTCTTTCCAGTCCTTATGTTCTTGATTTCTTTTTCTTTTCTTAGTGCTGGCCAGGGTCCTTTGGTGACTGCTAAAAAGTGGTAGTGATAATGGGATTTTGATTGTTTCTAGCTTTAGAGGAAATGCTTGATGTGTTTCAACATTAAGAATGATGTTTATTGTTAATTTTTGGTAGATAACCTGTGTCAGATAAACATGTTCTTTTTCATGTTGTTAGCAAATGGGTACTGTTTTCTACATCTGTTAACATAGTTTTCTTCTTTCTATCTGGTGGTGTAGTGAATGATAATAAATTTTTCTGATAATAAACCAACCTTGCATTATTAGAATAAACCAAGGTCGATTGTGATATAGTTACACTGGCCAACATAGTAACCACTAGCCGTATTTCAAGTGCTAATTGTGGTTATGGCTATAATATTGGAAAAGCAGAAATTACAGAACATTTCCATTTTTGTGGAAAATTCTGTTAGCCCTGTGGTACAGTTGTCTTTTTAAATACATTGCTGGAATTATCTGGCTAATCTATGTATGTTTATGAGTTTTCATGTCAAATTTATACTTGCTTCATTGAAAGAGATGGAATGGCCAGGTGCAGTGGCTCATGCCTGTAATCCCAGCATCTTGGGAGGCCAAGGTGGGCAGATTGCTTGAGCTGAGGAGTTTGAGAGCAGCCTGGGCAATATGGCAAAATTTCATCCCTACAAAACATAAAAAAATTAGCTGGGTGTGGTGGTGTGTGCCTGTAGCAGTCCCAGCTACTCGGGAGGCGGAGGTGGGATGATCACTTGATTCTGGGAGGCAGAGTTTGCAGTGAGCGATATTGTGCCACTGTCCTCCAGCCTGGGCAACAGAGCCAGACCCTGTCTCAAAAAAAAAGTGAAGGTGGAAAGTGTTCTCTTTGTTTCTGTGTTCTGGAATAGTTTGTATAAGATGGAGACACTTCTGTTCTTTGAAAATTTAGAACAACTCATCAAGCCTGATGTTTCTTTTTGGGAAGATTTTAACTTAGTTTCTTTAATGATTACTACTCTATTCAGGTTTTAAATTTCTTCTTGAATAATTTTGTTAATTATATTTTTTTTCTAGGAAATATCATCTAAAATAGCAAATTTATTGGCATAAAGCAGGATTCAGCAAACTGTGGCCCCAGGCTGTCTGCCTCTTTTTCTAAATAAAATTTTATTGGAATATAGCCACACCTAGTCATATTGTCTGGTTGCTTTAGTGCTATAAATGCAGAGATGAGTAGTTATGACAGAAGGTATGAGCCCCAAGCCAAAAACATTTACTGTCTGGTCTTTTAAGAAAAAATTTGCCAGTCTCTGGTTTGAACTATTCTTTATCATTCTTTCAATATCTTTTAATCTTTGTATTTATATTTAACGTCTCATTTTTTCCCCCAATGTTAGTTTTTTTTTTTTTCCCCCCTAGATCAGCCTCGCTAGAGACTTGCTAATTTTGGGCTATTTAGATGCATTCTCTTATTTAACTAACTAATTTCTGCTCTTTTTTATCTTCTTTCTCTGTTCTCTGAATTCATTCTTACTTTATTCTTAATTTCTTTTCCTCGCTTTAGTTTGATGCTTAGCTTATTTGCATTAACCTTTCTTCTTTTCAGTATAAACATTTAAGGCTATAAATTTCCCTTACTATACCACTTTTCCTAATTCCTACAAGCTTTATATATATTATTTTCTTTACTACTCAGTTATAATTATTTGTGTGTTTTTACATTTCCTAATATAGAAATGACTTGTTTTTTTTCTGACTTAATTATACTTTAGTAAGGAATACATGGTGGGTGAGATTTGGATTATTTTGAATTTCTTGAGACATGGCTTATGTACCCAGATTGTCATTAGTTTTTGTAAATGTCATATGTGTGCTTGAAAAGACTGTGTAAGGGTACAAAGCTCTGTAAATGACCAACAAAGCATACTTGTTAATTATCTTGTTTAAGTCTTCTATGTCTTTTCTAGTTTTTCTGGTGTATAATCTATCGGTAGTGGAAAAAGTGTGTTAAAACTTTGGTACTCGGCTGGGCGCGGTGGCTCAAGCCTGTAATCCCAGCACTTTGGGAGGCCGAGGCGGGTGGATCACGAGGTCAAGAGATCGAGGCCATCCTGGTCAACATGGTGAAACCCCGTCTCTACTAAAAATACAAAAAATTAGCTGGGCATGGTGGCACGTGCCTGTAATCCCAGCTACTCAGGAGGCTGAGGCAAGAGAATTGCCTGAACCCAGGAGACGGAGGTTGTGGTGAGCCGAGATTGCGCCATTGCACTCCAGCCTGGGTAACAAGAGCGAGACTCCGTCTCAAAAAAAAAAAAAAAAACTTTGGTACTGTGTTGGTGGACATGCTGATTTGTCCCTCTGGGTCTATCAGTTTTTGTTATTTTCATGTTAATAGTTAATATAAATTTAAAAAAATTCTGATAATTTGAATCTTCAAATTATTTTGTGATGGCTTCTGTATGCTTTATAATTCTATGTTTTTTTTTTTTTTTTTGAGACAGAGTTTCACTCACGTTACCCAGGCTGGAGTGCAATGGCGCGATCTCGGCTCACCGCAACCTCCGCTTCCTGGGTTCAGGCAATTCTCCTGTCTCAGCCTCCCGAGTAGCTGGGTTTACAGGCACGCACCACCATGCCCAGCTAATTTTTTGTAGTTTTAGTAGAGACGGGGTTTCACCATGTTGACCAGGATGGTCTCGATCTCTTGACCTCGTGATCCACCCGCCGCGGCCTCCCAAAGTGCTGGGATTACAGGCTTGAGCCACCGCGCCCGGCCTATAATTCTATGTTTTTAAAAATTTGTTTGGTCTGATGAGAATGTAGATACCTGTTACAGCCCATTCAGGTTCTTGCCTGCTGCACAGAAAAATCCAGTACACTAAGACAACAGGTATTGCAGCAGAGAACGACTTTAATCGTAAGGCAGCTGAGTGAAGAGAATGGGAGATAGTTCTTAAATGTGCCTTGCCAAGAATTTGGAGACTAGGGTTTTAAGGATGGTTTGGTGGCAGGGGTCTAAGGAATGAGTTCTGCTGATTGGTTGGGTTGGAAATGAAATCACAGAGATGTCAACTGTTCTCATGTGCTGAATCAGTTCCGGGGTGAGAGATGCAGGACCACTTGAGTAATTTTCTTGGTATGGGTCACCGGCCTGCATGGCATCAGTTGGTAGAACAGAATGCAAAGTCTGAAAAATATCTCAAACATTAGTTTTGGGTTTCATAGTAGTGATCTTATCTATAAGAGCAATTGGGGTAGTTACATGTCTTTGACCACCGGCTACATCATTCCTGATCAGCAAGTAATTATAAAAAAGGGGGTTAGGGAACAGTGACTGGTACTGTTTAACTATGCCTATATCTTAGTAGAATTCAGGCCCCTACCATAATTCTAAACTTGTGGGAGAGAGATGGTGTTCATTTTACAAAGTTGGTTTCAGTCCCTGAACAAGGAGGGGTGGATTAGTTTTGGGAAGGGACCGTTATCCTCCGTGCTTTAAAGTTAAACTATAAACTAAATTCCTGCCAGTTAGCCTGACCTGTGTATAGGAATAAGCAAAGGCAATTTGCTTGTGAGGTTAGAAGCAAGATGGAGTCAGTTATGTTAGCTTTCTTTTACTGTTATAATTTTGCAAGAGAGGTTTCATACCTACCTTTCTTGTTATAAATTTCTTTTTCTTTCTTTTTTTTTTTTTTTTTCTGAGATGGAGTTTCGCTCTTGTTGGCAGGAGTGCAGTGGTGCAGTCTCGGGTCACCACAGCCTCTGTCTCCTGAGTTCAAGTGATTCTTCTGCCTCAGCCTCCTGAATAGCTGGGATTATAGGCGTGCGATCACACCTGGCTAATTTTGTATTTTTTTTTTTTTTTTTTTTTGAGACAGAGTCTTGCTCTGTCGCCAGGCTGGAGTGCAGTGGTTCAAGCGATTCTTCCACCTCAGTTTCCCAAGTAGCTGGGACCACAGGCACGTGCCACCACGCCCGGCTAATTTTTGTATTTTTAGTAGAGACAGGGTTTTTCCATGTTGGTCAGTCTGGTCTCAAACTCCTGACCTCAGGTGATCTGTCTGCCCCAGCCTCCCATAGTGCTAGCATTACAGATGTGAGCCACCACACCTGGCCATAAATTTCATTTTCTACTTGCCCTATTTTTCCTTTTTCTTTGCTTGAATTTTTTTGCTTTTAAAAAAGTTTAGTTACTTTCATTTTTCCACAATCTATTTCTTTTTTCTTTCTGTTAGGGAAATTACCATTTATAATCTATTTCTTCCCTTTTAAAAAAAATATTATTGCACATAAAATTCTACCTTGTATACGTAATTCCTTAGCCTTTTGCAAAATTGACGCAAAGGCTGTTTTACCAATCTGGTCAACACTTCCCTTCCAACTTCCATGTTGATGTGGCCTAGCATTTTATTCTCCCTTTTATCCCCTAGATTATACTTGTGATTGTGTATTTATATTTTGCTCTCATGTTTAGAGTTTCTTTATTTTCTCTTACTGAGATTTCAAAGTTGTCTTTCTGTCCTCCAGCATCTCCTAATTTCATTTAAAATTTTTCGTCTGTTTGTCTCTTGGCCCTGCATTTTGGGTACTTTCTTTAAGTTACTAATTTTTATAAAACTCTAGACATGTTTAATTTGCTTAACCTGTCCATTTAGGTTTTAAAATCAATAATTACTTGTCATTAAAGCATTTCTGTTACTGTCCAGTCTCTCTTGTTATTTGCAGTAGCCTCTTGTTGCTTGCTGATTTTTTTGATTTCATTTTTAAAAGTTTCTTTAAACATTCCTATTTTATGTTTTGGCAATGAAATTTCAGTATCTGAATTCATTGGGGCATGAATCATTCTTGGTGTTTGGTTTTCTTATGTGTGTGGTGGTCCTTGGGAAGGACTCATTCATGTTTTATTGAGCTTGATGTGTCGAAAATTTGGGAGCCTAAATTGAAGATTTTTTTTTTTAACTCCACAGAAGATTGGCATTTGCTTCTACTGAGAAATAGGATTTGTCACCTACCTGAGAACTTTCTAGGGTCCTAGCTTAATTGGCATATCAGCATTTGCTCTTTTGCATCTCCAAGTACATACTGCTTACTGTTTGGGTTTCAATTTACCCTGCTTTTGTGCAGATGGGAGAGAGATGGTGAGTGTGGAAATGAAGGTTGGGTGTGGGTAGGTTCTTGTAGATTTTCCTTACTTTCTGTGAACTCAGCAATGTGAAAACAGTTTTCTGCTAGATTTACTGGGCCCTTCAGGGTAAATAGTATTAATATATATATACTACTGGAAATGGATGTTCAGTTTTTAAGCCATATCCATTAATTCATTTATTCATTCATTTTGAGACAAGATCTCACTCTGTATCCCAGGCTGCAGTTCAGTGGTATGATCACAGCTTACTGTAGCCTTGACCTCCTGGGCTCAAGCCATCCTCCCACCTCAGCCTCCCGAGTAGCTGGGACTATAGGCTGTGAGGTGGCGAGGTCATAGCTCTCTGCAACCTTGAATTCCTGGGCTCAAATGATCCTCCTGCCTCAGCCTCCCGAGTAGTGACACTACAGGTGTGCACCACTATGCCTCGATAACCTATTTTAGTTTACATATACAAATCTCTGGACATTTCATTGACACCATTAAAAGTTAAAAAAAAATTCTTTTGTGTTTTTCTGTATTAATGTTTAATTTTATGTAACCTGTTTGTTATGATTCTCAGTTTGTGCACCTCTTCTGGACTACTTGAGTCTCTTGATGTACTTGTTGATTTATCCTTATGGTGTTTTATGTGTAAGTGGAATTTTATTTTAATTAATTAATTTTGGGTATTTTGAGAAGTCATTGAGATAATTTCTTAGGCTAGAATTTGTAAATTGGGTTTCAGTTAAGGTAGAAAACCTCAGAATGAAGTACACACAAGGATTTTGTTTAATGAGACTTTTCCCCCCCAGTGTATTTATGTACTAGGTTGTGTTGCAGTTTTAAAAAAAAAAAAAAAAAAAAAAAAGGTTGAAAGTCATTGTCCTAGCTTTTAGTCTATGAATTGTAGCCCAGACCAGTATTCATTTTTTTGTTTTTGTTTTTTTTTTTTTTTTGAGATAAGGTTTCGCTATGTTGCCCAGACTGGAGTGCAGTGGCATGATCTGGCTCACTGCACCCTCTGCCTCCTAGATTCAAGCGATTCTTGTGCCTCAGCCTCCAGAGTAGGTGGGATCACAGGCACGCACCACCAACACCCCTCTAATTTTTGTGTTTTCAGTAGAGACAGGGTTTTGCCATGTTGAAATCCTGACCCCAAGCGATCTGTCTGCCTCAGCCTCCCAAAGTGCTGGAATTACAGGTGTGAGCCACCACACCCAGCCTCAGACCAGTATTCAAATGAGATGTTTTGTAAAGCTGAGCTGCCCTAATTGAAGTTCTGGGGCACCCATAATCCCTTCCCTACTGAGTGGTTGAAGTGCCAGAGGCCCCTGTGAATGTAGTTACAGGTGTGGAGGGAGATAAGCCAGACTGTGGTTCTGTGATCCTTCTCAACCACAAACAGAACTTTGCTTTTTCTGTATTTTGTAATTTAGATTTAGTGGGAGATTTGGCTTCAAAAGAGGGCTCATCTGCTAAAGAGTGTAGGAAAACCAAGATAATCAAGGCTTTAGGACTGAATTAGACCTTGACTTTAAATAAACCATTAAATAGGCAACATTTGGGATTTTTTTTCCTCTAATTATTGTAGTCAGACTTTAGTTTTGCCTCCTGCTTTTCTAGGACAAAATGTGGTAATGAGCATCCTGTCACCATCCTACTCATTTTTGTCATGTTTTCAGTCTTGATTTTTTTTTTGTTTGTTTTCTTTGCCCTGTCTGCAGTGAAGAAAGAATATAGATTTTGTACAGTAGTGCAACTTACAAACATCTATGAGAATCCCTTATAAATATACAGTGAGAGATTTTCAAATGTTTTCTGTTCATGGTGTCCTTAGTGTTTCATCATTTTTTCATGGAGCCAAAATAGAATATGTAACAGTTCTGTTTTAGTTAGTTACAAGTAGCAGTTCTGTTTTAGTTAGATACAAGTAGCCTAATAAGTATTTATGGTTTAAAAATTATACGTTCAAATAAAAACATTTCCTTTTTATGCTTAAATAATAACATATACTTACTGATCCGATGTGTGTGCCTGTTGGGCATATGCTAAGTTCTTAAGTCTTGGAATCAGATTGAACACTGCCACCTAAATGTTTCCCATTGATTTCTATCTAGTACTTTTTATCACATCAGCTGCCCTCAAACCCAGCTTCTCAAATATATATCACCTTCAAAAGGAAGATGGAACAATGATCTCATGTTCAAATGGAACTACCTTGAGCTCGTAAGTTTACCTGGTGTCTGAGAGATCTTGAAAACAGCTGTATTTTCCTTGAGAACTTAATATATCCCTCAATGCCTATGAATTTGCTGTGGTATCTAGGGGACGTTGTACAGTTTGTAACTGTAGGTGCAGTGCTTTACAATTTGTACAGTAATGAAGCAGATACATACTATATACATTTTATAGAAGACATAATGGAGTCAACTTTGTAGAATTAGTTATAGATAACTTGTACAAAGCTGCTCTATTGAGTTTTTTGCATCTCACAAGGCAGTATATATTTTATGTTTATTTCTGATTGGTACTTTTAAAAAATATAGTTCATTTCTTGTTTGTGTTTTTACCTTTTGAGGAAGAAAGTTTTTAACTTTTTTATATTTGGATGGGGTTTGAAAAGAAATATTTTTTCTTCTAGGAAAAC